GTGTTTGCTCAGTTTCTTTGCCATGTGTGTCTTCAATCAGACAAGAGTCAGGTACAGTATATGAAGTTTGTACATTCCAGTTTCAAAGAAGAAAACGTGTTTCGCATTTTATGTAGCAATGTATTTCTGGAATGTCATCTGAGAACGTTTCTTTTTCTGTGTTAAAGAGTCACTCAGCCCCGTCATAATGTTTATAAATCTAAATAATAACACTTGCCATTCTGTCTCTTTATTAGTATCAATATTGTGTGTTGCACCTGTAGGTTCTGCTTTGCCACGTTCAGGAAAGTTGTTAATGATGCGAAGGACTGCAGTTTCAGTATAAATGAAATGTTTGTAATGTTTATACACTATATTCCAGAACAACAGATAAAGGCAATAAAAGAGCATGGGAACCAATAGCATCTGCCAAAGTGTTTGATGCGAATGGAATTAATGATACAGGATTCCATGGGATGCTATTAGCCTTCAATGATCCTGGGTTTGTATTTACAGTATTGGGATTTCAGGGAATCGCATCAATATGTCCTGGGGTTTTAATTACAGTAGATGGACTACAGAAGTCTATTACAGAGCAGGGGTTTTATTAGCAGTTTAATGTCCCACACAAAGGTATTTATACAGAACAGCAGTTTGGTAACAGGCAGTTGGGTTAGTACAGGAAGGGTCCGAAATCCATGAGGCTTTTTAAGGCAGGAGCTTAGGGGAAAAGGAAGAAGTCTAAATTTTGTTGTATATCTATGCCAGGGGTTTCATTAGGAACACTTCTATAAAATATTCTATAGGTTTATTTTCGAAATAATCACATCATGAACTCATGCAAAAAGGAAGCAAGTCAAGTCTAATGGATTCAGTCAAATGCAATAGGGTATATATATATAGATGGCAGTTATTTTAAGTTAAAGTACATTATACATGATTATTGGGTACTTGTCATATCTTTTACAGTAAATCATTATTCTGTTTCACATACTGATATGCAACAAAAGCAAAGAAAATGTGAGGGAAAACACAGATGGTAAATTTGCGGTATGAAATGAAATCATTGCAAAGCTACGCATTGACAGACCTGACAAGTCTGTATGCTGTGGGTTTTTCACGTCTAAATTCCTGACAAGCTGAAAAACACGAAAAATAAGGTTTCTCATATTGGCATTTACTTCTAACAGTTGCTAAACTTTTTACGTCACTCACACGAAAGACATCATCATTAAAATTTTGTATTTTTAGCAAGAGGATGTGTTGGTATTTAAAAAGCTTTATGACACTCCCGCTCCCCGTTGTCCGCATTCCTCACAGCTCAGGTTAACCTACGTGTCAGGAATTTTGTGCACTTATGCTTAAAGCTGAATATCTGGGACTCTGGAGCCTGTGGAAATACATGAAAATGATATGTAAATTATAATAAAACAGGGGTCTGTTTTAATTCGGAAGGCTTTAAGACCCAGAAAATAGCAGATACACATTCCACAGTTCACTTCTGAAAAAACAAAAACCCATTTACTGTACCACGGTGGAGTTCTACACACCTTTTCGTTTCAGGAAGAGAGGAGGTTACCTGGGTATTGCATTTCTGGAGTGCACAGGTCTTCGTCGCTGGTTAGTATACCTGAGCTCAGGTAAAACACGCATGTTTTGGACTTTACATTTTTAGACGCGGCACGAAACAGTCGCTGGAACCTGCAGTTGTGCCGTTGTCCTCTGGCTATTTAAATGAGTTTTGCAGCTTTGAGACGCACTTTGAAGAGGAATGCCAGCAAAAGGTAAGACCTCTTTTCACTTTCGATGACGAGGCTCATCGAAAAGGTAGAAACTTTCATTTTTTAAATAAGACTTTATTTTTGAACGATATATAGACTACACAACTTTTTAAAATCTTTTAAAATGAACTTTACATGCACCACACTCTATCTGTGTCCCTTTGTTCCCCCCCCCCCCCCAGTATTGCCTATCTTTCTGCTTTGAAGTTTGCAACAAGCCCTATTTAGGTTCTGAGTGGACATCACTTCAGCCCAGGCAATGTAACCAAGTGACGTTCTTGTGTTCCGTCTAAGCGAAAGGAAAATAGTTTAGAAGTCTTGGCGTTCGATAAAGGAGAAAATTATTTTTATTTTGAAAGTAACATTTCACATTCCAACTGTCAGATGGTTATCAACACACTTCTACAGATTATTTATGGTTGTGTTGTGTCATAGAATTGTGGCTTTACAACTCTGCTTTGACAGGAAGTGTCTAATCCTCCTAAAGAGCTGCTGTCCTCCAGGTTTTAGAAATCACCATTAACATCTTAATTACCAAAAACCCTTATCAATTACCAAAGACCTCCATGGCCCATGATTTGTTAATTTAGTTGATTTAGTTAATTATCATCTACAGTATAATGATTTACAGTAGAAATCATTATAAACAAATTTGAGTCCTAAGGAATCGGTTTTCTTAAATGACCAGTGTATTTTCTTAATGAATCCATCATATACAGTACAAGTGGGCACAAAACATAGGAAATAATTATTTACAATGATATGGATTAGAAACCCGAACCTGGGTTGGAGCACCATTTTGCTATTCCTTCCTAGAGCTTTACAAAGAGAGAAACAGCTTGTTGCTATGTTTACTATTCTGAGGTCACTGAGACTGAGAAGTGTTCTTCCTTCTCATTCATGTCTTCACCTAGTGTTTAATCAGAGGCAAACAATTAAATGCAAAGGTGTCAGACACTGCTTCATTATGCTCTTGGGTTCTTCCCTAAAAAAGTGAAAATTCATTTGTTTTGAGTGGCAGAAATGCAAAGAAAAATACTTCAAGATCCATTATGAACTGATGCAGATGAATGCTTTTATTTACATTTTGGAAGCATTGATTAATTTATGAACAAGCATCAGCAGGGCAGAATGCTTTTTTTAACAGCCCTTCATGAAAGAAATAAAAGTGTGGGGGGAAATGTATTTCTGCTTGGGATGAATTAAAAAAAAATAGGCTAACAAAAAAAGCAGGCTACTAGAAACGTAAGGCAGGTGCTCAAGGTAAAGAGGTGTCGAAATAAGAAGTTACTTGTTGGAAAGAAAACTAGTGATGTGGCAGTGCAGGGGTGTCTGAGAACCCATTGTGACATTTAAATTGGTATGGACATGAAAGTAAACAAAAGGGTCAAGCCTGGTTTTCATCTGGCACTGACCAGCCTGTTTTCACCTTTGCATGTGGGCCTTAATTAACTGCTGCAGGTTTTTGACCTGTTTCCAGATTTTGGGCAAAAAGAACAAGTAATGATTTATTCTGTCTTGGCACTGCTCCCTTTTTGTCACCTCTTCAGAAATCCTGTGCCGCGATCTATGTCTGGGCCCACGTTCCAAAAGAAATGGACTCTTCCATTACCTCTTGCACTTGGCCTGGGGTTCACTAAGTGAAGACCCTTATTTGTCAGCCAAAATTGCCAGGCTGTTTTAGAATTACAGGCAATCACAATTTCAATTTCCAGTTAACCATTAAAAGCTTATGGGATTTTTATTTTACCTGTTATTATGTCTCTGTGAATGAAGAACAGTGGTTTCAACATAGATGTAGTTATAAAATATACTATCCTTTAAGGCCATCCCAGGAGAATATTACAAATAAAAGTCTGTTTTATCTTTATTTTCCATCTTATTGGCTGCCTTGTCTGTTCATATTCATTTGTAAAATAAAATAATGTTGTACTCAGTTTAAATTGAACTTTTCTGTACCCTTGTTTTGTATATTGTTGACTAAAACAGCCATAAACAATTTTAGATAACCACAGAAAAAAAGAAAAATCAAATAAGTTGCTATTCAAGGACAAATTGCCAGTATACCTTTTTACCACAAGCCCTTAGTGGCACAAGGGTGAAATACTGTACAACAGAATACTGTTTTGAGAGCTGCGTGTACCACTTTTATACATGCAGATAAGAAGCCGGTAAAGTGAATTTCCTCCATTGCAAAGACAACCCTGATCTGAAGGTAAAAACATTTTAAAGTAATGTAAATTAAGCCATAGTTATTTTGATGGATCCCTTCAGATCTAAAACAAACAAACAAAAAAAAAAGTTTCTTTGAGATCCTTATGTGAATAATAAGCAATTTAGTGCTTGCACACATCTAAAGCATTTTACATGATTGTTTTACAGGGAAATAGACTGTTACATTATTTAGTGTTTTACATGATTAGCTAGCTTTCTGCTTAGGTTGTCCCAGGCTTAGCAAAAAGAGGTATACAGTAGCTGACATTATAAGACATGACACAGGTGAGAGTGCCATTGTTTCACACCATGATTTTAAATCCTTGTGCACTACCAGGTGGCTGGTTTTGTGAAACCACTTCAGAGGCTATTTATAGCACTATAATTAACATTGCAAATAATGTCCTAAACAGAAACGAATTCAGCACGTACTTCTATAATAGGATTAGCAAACGTATTGACAATGTCAGGTTACAATATATTTACTGTCCCATTGATTGTTTACTTATAAATGGATTTTTAAAATCCAATTGAAATTGAAAGTTTGTTAGGGAACCTTTGCATAATATACAAATATTTTAAACAAGCACAGAGATGTTGTCTTGTGTGTCATGGCAATACATTTAAATTTTATATATACATGGTTTTAATCATGTTATTCCATCAGTGCTGTGAGAATGACACATGCATTTTGTCAAGCTTATCACTGACCATATAACTCTTAGAACCTGAACTCTTTTCTTTGCGAAGATGTTTTAAAGGTTTTCAACCTAACATGATATGAGACCTTGCATTTTCATTAGACAACCAATTCCTCACATACTCAGAACCCCTCACTAAAATTGGTCTTTAAATAGGTTTAGTCAGTCTCCTTCATTCTGCTGTAGCTATAGCACTGGGGGAGATTAACGTTGCTTTTAAGCCTGGAGGAAAATATTTTTTTTAAGTTCTTGACAACTGGGTGTAGCGTGCCTTCTCACAAAACAAAATCTGTGATCTGTGTAGCTGCAGCAGTCTATGACTTAAGAGGTTTAGCTGCCTCTACCAGAAGGGCTGGTTCTTCAGCATTTTGCACTGAAAACACTGCACTGACTGATTGGCATGGCTGTCAAATAAAGTAAGTCTTTCATCATCGGAAGTGATACGACCCTGTTTCATGTAGATCTTTATTTTCGATCACGAGCAAGCTGGTCACTAATCTGAACAGTACCCAGAGTTTAAGGAGAAGTGTCTGCTCCTTATTTAAATTATTTTTAATGTGCCGTAGTGCTCCAAAACAAGTATTCACACTCAGTGTATTACAGTGATTTAATTCCTTTAAACATTTAACTGGGTTGAAAGAATGTTCAATAAACTTGAAAATATTTGTCAGGTAAGTATAGAAAATAAAGAGGTGATGGATCTAGGACTTAAAACAGAAAGGAATTCTTTACACAATAAAGAAGGCCGTGGGGTTTAGCTGTTCAGCAATGTTGTTGAAGCAGATGGACAAAGTCCATAAATGAATGAACTAGTAACAAGCAAATCAGTAAGGTGGCCTGAATAATCTCCTGTCACTTGTCAGCCCTTTTGTGTTCTTACTATTTCTTACACTTAATAAATTAGTGCATAGTGTATTATTGATTGACGTGTGGTGTCCCAATGTTCAATATGTATTCAACTTTTTCAGTTGGTTTATATCAAGTCCAACTGGAAACCTATAACAATTCGTGCCATATGCTCTTGTATGGCCGGTGCTTGTTCAGCCTAACATATTGAATGGATTTATATTTGCAGTGAATATAACATATTTTTTTAAAGGGACTGATTTCCTTGGTGCTGATATTAAGTAGGCCAGGCTGCATATCTGAAACTAATTAATCTCTGCCTAGATGTCAGATAAATATAGTTCAACTATGCTAGTGGTTTCAGATTAAGCTGATCAGATGTGCATGCTATAAATATGGGTCACAATGGTCTACAGTCTCCTTTGATGAAGCTTTTCTCAGTGATTTTCTTAATAGACTTCAGATTTCTTGTTATACATAGACACAATCTTCACTAATAAGAGGAAGCAAATTAGCCCATCAAGCTCATTTGATTCAGTTTGCCGTCAGTCCCATAGCCAACACAGATTGTACTGAAAACACTCTCCAAGCATTCATTTCCATCTATTCATTCATCTCCTAACCACTTGACCCAATTCAGGGTCGTGGGGGAGCTGGAGACTGTCTGGCAAGCTACCTGGCAAAGCGCAAGGCAGTTTACACCATGGATGGGACCCCAGACCATCACAGGGTACTCATAGCCACACACATGCACACACTCACATTAGGAAACCAAAGCACCCAGAGGAATCCCACGCAAACACAGGGAGAACTTTCAAACTCCATGCAGCGAGCGACTCAGGTCCAGAATTGAAGTCAGGGCCCCAGCGTTGCAATGCTAACCTCTGTGCCGCCCACTGACAGGATCCTGGCCAGCTTATTCCAAGCCTCCTTTGGCAGTGTACCTACCAGTGCGCCACTGCTTGGTGATTCCTTCTTACAAACACACTGTCGTGTGTCACACTTTCTTGTTTTTTTAGGCTCTTCAATGCTATTATTTAGTTTTTCTTGTAACAATGCAGTAGGATGAGTCTGTGGAAACATCCGGTGTTCATCTGTGGGAAAGTGACATTTTTATCTCTCTTGCTGTCAAAAGACACATCCCTTCTACAGATTGTGTACTAAGGTATTGTGATATTGTAACATTCATTGATGAATCACAATGACATGCGAATGCAATGAAACTGGTGGATTAATTCGGGGCAGGTGTACAGGGAAGAACAGATAAGCTGGTGCCTGGACTTTAGCCTCCTAGAGGAAACCTAAAACAAAGAGATATGTTAAAAGGCTGCTTTGTCTTGGTTCCCAGCGAATAAAGTTATTCATTTTGTAGCGCAGGTTGAACCCTAGAGTTCAGACGTCACTGATTTGAGTCTGAGATCTTAGTCCCCAAGCCACTGTGCACAATTGGCTGAGCATTGCTGGTATTGGAATGGCTTGTGTCAGCTAGGGTGTCTTCAATACTACTGGACGTGCTGGGTTCTTGCATGCTTTGAATGTGGGACATCACTTCTGTAGCACAATTGTGCTGTGCAGGTTTTAGAGCATTAATATAATTGTGATTATTATATTTTTCTATTTTTTTTGTTTCTTGTTTTATACTCACCCAGTTGGGATTCTCCAATTGTTTCTTTACATGCTGGCTGTTAGCAATGATTTCTCTTCTGTAGAGAGAGGATAAGAATGGGCAGACAAGCTCCTCTGAGCTGCTCACACATCTGGCCTCTTGTGTTTTCACTTCATGCTTTTCAGCGCACTCCTGGAGGGTGAGCGCTACTAGAGAAGTGACACATCTCTCACTGACCTCACAACAAGCCTGCTGGTGCCCAGGAAATTACAGTGATTGCTGTTTGCTTGACTTCTGAGAGCTCTGGGAGACTAATCCCAAACGTTTCTTTTTGATTTTTGTGTAATTTGTACTGTGTTGAAAACATACATAAACATTGTTATTATTATTTACTCATTACTTACTCGCTTATAGCTCCATCTCTGTGGCTATGCTGTTATACACGTAAAGAAATGATAACAATAGTTTTGTTATTGTTCAGAACTTGCTGTACTGTATTCTAAGATTGATCAAAGACTCCAGCATAGCGCTGCTTCTTGAAAGATCACAGTGTTCTTGGGTGCGGATGCTTGCCGTGACAACACCGTTTCAAGCATTTAGGACTCTGTTTATAAAAAGTGATTCCTTATGTCAGTATTTTACTACTGTGTTATGCTTTGCACAGTATTATAGTAATTTTAGTGAGTTTCTATCTCATTAAGCTACCAGTTGCATTAACCTTGAAATAAGAACTATGAACTCTCTGAGAGTGACCAAAGTATTCAATGAGACAGAGTGACAGGTTATATACATTACAAAGGCTATAGGTCAGTTGCACCAAGGAAATTTGCTTAAATTGCCATAGAAGTACATACATTCAATAGACTGTTTTAAGCTGCTTGAAACATGAATTGTATTGTCCAGTTACCTTTTTATAGTTCTGTATTAGGTATGGGTATGAAAAATGGGTTTTCATCTGGGAAAATAGGTTTAGCCAAGCTAAGGCCAGCAGTGCTCCTTAGCTCTTTTGAATTCATATAAGAAGAACTAGAAAAAAGATAACAAATGACACCTTGACAAGCCCTGTTCCTTATATCTGGATTACATTGTTCACTTCACCACTCACATTTTGACTATTTTACAGAAACTGATTTCTGATCTGCCTGCTTTTGTTCAAAACATCTGGGCCTGGCGTCAGTGACATTTACCCACACTGGGAACTAATTAAATGCAAATTCAATTGTCTGGTCATTTGTCTGAACAAATACAGTTTAATAGGGAGAATGTCACCAGCAGGGTAGCATTTCTGTTTCATTTTTAGGCATTTGGTACAACTTGGTAAAAGATGGGCCTGGTCTTCCAGGTACTTTTAATTTGTAGCTTGCAATTACACTACAGTTTAAGGTGATATTAATAGAATTATGAATAATATTGAAATATTTTGAGGTATTCATCCTTTTTGTATGTATTCATACGTTACTGTAAAAGTGAAATTTAAAGAAAATATAAAGAAAATAATGTTAGTATATTTATTTCATTTAATGATCAGATGCTTGTATTTCTGCTGTCTTTGCATGTGTAGTCCAACACTTAATCAGGTTAATCTTAAATTACAATTTTTTTCAGAGCTTTATGTGTGTACTATTGTATATTATTACTGTTGTGATTAAAAATAAGGCGTGCAAAAACTATTTCCCATTATTTGGCAGTGAATAGGTTGTTCCAAAGATAAGATCACTTTATTGGCCATATACAGTACAATTTCTTGCATTAGGAATTTGTCTTTTCACATACCCCAGCGTGCTCTCCATGAGACACACAGACAGAGAGAGAGAAGTTTGAGGTCAGAGCACAGGGTCAGCCATTTATACAGCACCCCTGGATCAGTTGGGGTTAAGGCCCTTGCTCAGGGGCCCATCTGAGTAGGATTCCTCTGCCTTCCATGGGATTTGAACTGGCAACCTTCCAGCCACAGGTGTAGATCCTTAGCCACAATGCCACTGCTCCGCCCAGTGATGATCTTTACTCTGAAGTGCTGAGTCATCACAATTGCCTTGATGTTCACATAAAGGTGACACACTATGTCACAGAAAACAGCCCAGATAATGTATTATCTAAATAATACAGCATGTAAATAATAAACTGTAACATGGAAGATACAATTTTTCCATTGGGTCAAGTGAACCTTCTCATCCACCCATAGTATTGGATGAAAAAGTCTAAAGTAATTTGCGTAGGGTATATTTTAATTTGAGGTATGAAATTTGTCAACTGACAGTTCTCTTATATTTTAGGTCTCCAGCCCCTGATGGCAACAATCCTGACACTGGATCCCCCCATATCATGTAAGTTTGTCATTATGCACAGTAGATGTATTTCAGATAAAATGCACACCGACAATTTTTCTTTTTCTGTTGAATTCACAGATTACAGATGTCCCTCTGTGTGTCTTTTTTTTTATTTACATCTCTGAGTGATCCTCTGTGGTTTTGTTGCCTAACCTACATGTTAAGAGACTCCAACAGACAGCCTTAATTTCTTGCTTCTGTTTCAGGTTACATCTAACAAATGACTATGAGTCAGAAACAACTATTACTACAATTGAGCAGTAGTTTCTGTTACATACAGCGTGTTTTGTTTTTCTTTAGTTACCCTGGAAAGGACATTTATGCATTGATGTTTGTGCAACAGGTTATTCTGTCTTACATATGAGTTGCTGGTCAGGAACAAGAAAATAAGACCTGTCCATTTTCTGAGAACATCCAACTGACTAAATTACTGATGGAATAACTTGCTGTATTTCAGACTCCCAGAACAAGTGTGACATGTGATGTTTTGTTGACGTCTTTTCTCTTTATTTGAAAGTACAAAAGACCCAGAAGATTTGGGGATCGCAGTCTTCTGCTTCTGCAGACCTGTTTTTCTGCATCTTGATCTGTGCTTGTTTTTATTGTTCTTTTTGAAGCTATTATGGTTTGGGAACAGTACACCACATTCAGGGAACTGCAGTGGCATTGGTTTTCTGACTGCTCCCTACCCCTCTTGTTGTTCTATTGTCTTATTTTCTGTATATTGTGTTAAACCTCAAAGCACGGAGATGCTAAGGTAGTATTTAAATGCAACCTAGTGAAATGTGACCTGTTTCCAGGAAATAGAGATGGATTTATTGGGGACCTTAGCCACCCTTTTGACAAAACTAAATGAAACCATGCTGTCTCTGCACTGATGTCTTGCTGTGCAAAGCAATTAAAACCCTAACAGTCAGGTAGGGAGCATTGCTTCTGCTTCAATAGTCTAGAATGCAGACAGTAAATTATTTACACCAAAACCCCATGTGCCCAGGTCTCAGCTACTTTGAGTCTTGCAAATGAACGGAAAAGCCTTTTTCTCCTGGGCATTGTGTACCTGGAGTCCACACGAGCTGGTCTGTAGATGGACTGATTGTTCAGGCAGGAATACCAATCCCTGGCAGAATCTCGGGCTGGTCCATACACCTGTAAGATCTGCTGCAGAGACACACCAGTGAGGCCTGTTAGGTTTCTAGGAATTTGCAGCCTGAAACCCCCTAAGTCCTTTATACTGGCCCTTAATTCCACATTAGGATTTAGATTGGACAAAAGTACTTGCCTACCCCTACAAACTCTGCCAATTGAGAAATGTTCAGCACCGTGTCTTACAGATGTGTGTCTATATCAGTTTTAATGCGCTATATCGGTTTTTGCAATGTAGTAATCACTATAAAAATACCCCTATTTATCTTTGAGTTTAACAAACTTTGTTATAGGTTGACCCTTATTACACTCTTTTGTCTTTGTTTTGCTTAACATAGGGGACCATTGTCCTTCTCTATGCATAGAGCAGAGACTTCCAGTATGGCTTTGTTAGATGATGAATCTGCAGCACAAGGCCTGGTCCTCTCACTGACTTTCAGTATGGCATACGTCCTGTGGTGATTTTTCTCTGCACCTGTACAATTAGAGACGAAAAGAGCTCCTAATCAACAAGCCCCTTTGATCTCTGCTTGACGTCTGCAGCTCATTCTTGTTTAATTGAAACCCCACGAGCTTGACCCAGAGAAGAGACACACTTTGACAACCAGGAAAACAGGGTCAAACACAGGATGTCCTTCCTTGACAAATCACGGTAGCCCTAATGCTGATACTTTAAATTCTTAAAAACAGAGGATTAACTGAAATGGAGAAATTTGACAATTGAAATATTTTCATAATTTCCAGTACCCTGATAAAAAGCTGCATCCTTTTAATAATAACTACACATCTTTCACACAAGTGATTCTTTGTGAAATTCATTCACGTCCTCTATTAAACTACTATCTATATTGATGTGTAGGCATTCAATATATACTGTAGCTTGCATCTCTTTAATTTTACTTACTGTATATTTTCTCTGGTACTTGCTGAATGTCCTATCTGATTTCTCTTGATTTTGCTTAAAATAGTACAGAATAGTAATACTGTATCTCTGAAAAGAATTGCAAAATAACTTTACTTACTACAGTTTATTAACATAACCAACGGGATCCCAGTGAATTGGTTTCTCCTAAGCACCCACATCTCTCTCTCAATTTCTTTTTTATTCTTGCACTTATCTTGAACTGCACTTGAAGGAGTAAATACATGAATATTAGCATTTTGTTTTTAGATCATAAATGGACAAATTCTTGTTTTAGACAAATAAATACTTAATAGACATTTCCCAAATTTGTTGAAGCTGTAAGAGGGCATATACAGGTTGCAGGAAAATGCCCAGAAATAGAAGCCAAGTTCTCAGATTGTCTTTTGATATAGTGATAAACATATGCCAGTAATAATAGGTTTTGAATGGCGGCGAATCTTGGCAGTTGTCTTTTTTTGTGGTTTTACAACTAGAAGGAACAAGATTGTGTGTTGCTGTTGCCCAGCACCTTTCCTGTAGAAATAAAAAATCTTCTATTCAGAATGTTGGAGAGGGCATTGAGTGTTATGCAAGTGTGAGAGGAGAGCTGACATGTTATTCTTTATAGGAGGGATTTGGAAAAGTCCTTTGAGAAAGACTGCTTGATTGCTGAATCCACAATAAAGGTAACCGCAATTGGTATAACAGGAAATGCAAAAAAACACTAATTATATTACCCATCAATAAAGCATTTTGCAGCCTACAATTTTACAAAGTAAACCTATTGAAAATTCAGAAGACTGTGAGTTGTCTATGACTGTGATGAAACCAGGAACTTTTAGAAGACTCGTAATGTGATCATGCACTGAGTTTTATTAAATGTCACATCATATTTTAAATAGTACCCCTTAAGTCCATGCAGATCTATACTGTTGCTAGCCTCTTTGTGACTAACATATGAAAATGAAAGGTCAATGCACCAAAGACTATCTTTTTGAAAAAATTAAATTTTGCACACATGAATATAATACTGGATTTCACAACTATGTGATGCTGTCAGACCAGATACTCATCTAAAATATTCAAGAGCTTGGTTAGCCAGGCAGTGGCCTAGTATATGTCTGCATTTACTGCCACATCCTGGCAATGGGGCAGAAGCACTAAGCTGTTAACAGACTCAGTCAGTTTAAGAACAAGTAAAGGTTTATTCCATGCTGAAAAGAGAAGAAAGGAAACACAATGTTTCGGCTGCTATGAAGCCTTCTCCGGGTGTGAGAAAGACAGGGGAGTCAGCAGAGATTATATAGCATAGGAGAACAAAAAAAAGGGAGTGTAGAGGAGGTGGGAGGCCTGCGCAGGCTGATGCAGCTACCTTCTTGAACTCGTTCAGTTTAAGATCACATCTTCAGTTTCATATGAAATTTTTAATTGGTTTCATGGGCTTTAATTTCAGATCCTCCAGAAATGAACTCTTGCAACAGTTCTTTGTCTGTTATGTGATGCTAATAAAAAAGGGGATTTGGAAATATACAACTTAAGCCCAGCTTTGTTAACTCCTGTCAACATGCCTTAATGCTCCCATTGGTAACCACATTAAAGACAATGAGAATAATGAGACTGTCTCCATCATAACATAATTGCTTCATCTCAGTGGTTTCCTGAAATAACACCTGCAGAGTCAGTGCTATTCAGTATACTGGAGATATTGTAAATATTTCAGCTTTTGGAGGTAAATGTGACTTCACTGAACACAGCATAAAGCAGACAGATCTCTTGCAGCTGTTCTAAGCATGTAGGTTTGGTATAGTATTCATATCTGCAAAAAATAATACTAACAGAAAGAATTTTCCCTTTAAGATAATTTTTTATACAAATACATTTCTTTTCGTTCAGGTGAATATTGTTTTTTCAGTTGGAGTGAAAAGAGGCTTGTTACCCAGTCTACTGTGACTTGCAGTTGCCATGGTTATACGTACCGTGCATTATTTTAAAGAATCTGGTCCAAAGAAAAATTAGTTTAAGAATAAACCCACAGGCTCTTTCCCCTTTGCCTGATTTAGAAGGAAATGTACCTGCTATTTGTACAACATTTTCTGATTACCCTTAACTACATTGTATTAAGAACATTTCATGTGGTGAAAATGGTGGAGTTTTGCTTTAATGCAGTTTGAAGAGCAAGATGATGATGATGTTGGGAATATATCATATTACAGTATATACTCCCAGCATAACCAAACATTGGAGAACACAACACTAATTTATTTTCAGTTTTACAGACCTGCCTTATTTTTATGTATCTTTGCATGAAAGGTATTTAATAAAATCAAGATAATAAAGAGAATGATGATGATTTGTGAAACAAATTTGTTTTCACACCTCTTTGGTGATGCCAGGAATGATTTGTTTGTGACCTGGCTTTGTACTTGACAGTCAAGCACAATAGGTTACTATTATGGCCCTACTAAGTAGATTCTGAAAACACTTCTCTGAACTTCCAAAAAGTGTGTGGGGGACTATTGAAGAATCTATGTTTCCCCATGAAATACATCTTCATCACATTGCATCTTGATTGATTCTGAAAAGTCTTTTCATTTTTGTTTCTGAAACTTTGAGAAGAAATAAAAATGTATTTTGAATGCATTTACCTGTTATACTGGTATTTCCTGGGATAGAGTTACAGTATGTCTAATATATCAAGTAACAGCTGACTGACTTTGGACAGGAAGCAGAAAACAATTAGGTGAAAATTGGAGCAAAGGATTTAAAGAATGGGCACTGCTGGTGCATTTCAGATATTTGTTGAGTTCAAGTTCAAGTTCAGGTTTATTGTCATTATACTCATATACAGGTGTATGATATAATGAAATGCTATTTAGCTAGCTCTCAGACGATAACGTGGGACAAAAAAAAACAACAATACAATTGTAAAATAAAAGAAAGACAGAGACAG